TATCCCTAACCCTAACTCCTAACCCTAAACCCTAACCCCTAACCCCTAACCCTAACATTTAACCCTAACCCTTAAAGCTAACCCTAACCCTAATAACCCTAACCCTAATAACCCTAACCCTAATAACCCTAACCCTAAGAACCCTAACCCTAATAACCCCAACCCTAATAACCCTAACCCTAATAACCCTACCCTTGACCCTAATAACCCTAACCAAACCCTAACCCTAATAACCCTAACCCTAATAACCCTAACCCTAACAACCATAAGCCTAACCCTACCCATAACCTTAATAACCCTAACCCCTAACTCTAAACCCTAACCCTAACCCCTATCCCCTAACCCTAACCCCTAACCCTATACCCTAACCTCTAACCCCTAACCCTAACCAAACCCTAACCCCTAACCCTAATCCCTAACCACTAACCCTACCCCAAACCCTAACCTCTAGCCCCTAATCCCTAACCGTAACCCATAATCCCTAAATCCTGCCCTAACCCCCTAAACCCTAACCCTGACCCCTAACCCCTCACCCTAAACCCCTAAACCTAACTACCCTAATCCTAATCTAACCCTAAACCCTTAACCGGTAACGCTAACCCTAACCCTAATAACCCTAACCCTAATAACCCTAACCCTAATAACCCTAACCCTAAGAACCCTAACCCTAATAACCCTACCCTAATAACCCTAACCTTAACCCTAATAACCCTAACCAAACCCTAACCTTAATAACCCTGATAACCCTAACCCTAACAACCATAAGCCTAACCCTAACCATAACCTTAATAACCCTAACCCTAACCCCTAAACCCTAAACCCTAACCCCTAACCCCTAACCCTAACCCCTATCCCCTATCCCCTAACCCCTAACCATAACCCCTAACCCTAACCTCTAACCCCTAACCCTAACCCAACCCTAACCCAACCCTAACCCCTAACCCTAACCCCTAACCCCTATCCCTAACCCTAACCCTAACCCCTAGCCCCTAACCCTAGCCCCTAACCCCTAACCGTAACCCCTAAGCCCTAATCCCTAAATCCTGCCCTAACCCCCTAAACCCTATCCCTGACCCCTAACCCCTCACCCTAAACTCCTAACCTTAACTCCTAAACCTAACTACCCTAATCCTAATCTAACTCTAACCCTGACCCTAACTCTAACCCTGACCCTAAGCCTAACCCAAACCCGTAACACTGATCCCTACCCCTAATCCTAAATCCTAACCCTATCTAACTATAACCCTAACTACCCTAATCCTAACCTAAACCTAAACCCTAACACTAACCCTCACCCTAAACCATAACCCTATACCCGAACCCAAAAGCTCACCCTAAACCTACCCATAACCCCTAAATCCTAATCCTAAACCCTAACCCACAGTCGGACCGGGGTGGACGGTACGACCACGACGTATGGAGGTCAGCCAGGATGGCTGTTTTTTTTCACCTGGGGGGGGGGGGAAGGTCATGCAGTGACATATAATGAGTCACTGGAACGCGTAGTTCTGGGGACTGGTAGAGAGTGTGATTATGGATAGCAGCCTGGTCTACCAGTGGGATACGTGGGTGAAGTAAGGAGCCTTCTGGGGGAATCCAGAAGGGGGCGTGGCCGAGGGCAGAGCCTGGCCACGCTGAGAGGATAAAAGGCGAGCCCCAACTCATAGTTGGGGCTCGGGGCTGCCGTGGCCTGGAGTGGAAGTCGCCGTGCTGCCGTCGTGATGGTCTTCGCCTCTTTGAGCTGTGGGTCAGGAAGCATGTTCACTGTCCTGACCCAGTGTGTAGTTATCCCCTATGGCTGTGAAGGCCGGAATAAATGAGCAAGTGCCTCCTACTAGTGTCTCTGAATTAGCACATTACACACAATAAACAGTAAGGACAAGATCAATGTGCTCACAAAGAGCGCATAAGTGTGGTCACCACGTCTATGCATCTATATAAGAAACGAAACAATTAGACCTATTCACAAATCTGGCTGTCGCCTGATGAAGCTAGTTGTAATTACTGGTGAAAAATCGTACTCAGATTGTAAATGTTGTGGCTTGGCTCTCCAACACACTGGTGTGCTGTACTCGTGACGGATTGGCATGTTCTGTTTACGTGACAACCCTTACTAGTTGGGTGTGTCGGGTGGTGGCGGTTTTAAGGACACATTTATATATTTACACGATCTAACAAAAAAAACTCTATTATGGATCATATTGGTTAAGTTATTTAGCCTGGGTCAATATTGCTTAAGTTACTTAGCAGGTGTCCATGTTGGTTAGGTTATTTAGTGGGCGTTCAATTTGCTTAGTTTATCATGACCTGTAACAGACCCCCCCCCCCCCCTCCAAAACTCAGCCCGGACCCCCAGACCCGAACCCCAGACCCTGACCCCGAACCACAGACTCCCGGCCCGTACCCTGGACTCCGAACCTCAATCTCAGATCTCTGACCCGGATCCTGAGCACCCAGATCCCGGACTCTGAACCCCGAGCCCCGAGCCCCAGAGCTGTTCCCCGGGGCCCCGGACACCAAACACAGACCCAGTCCAGCTTCAATAATCCCATGCTATGACTTCCTGCTGTCCCTCCAAAGATTATTTCCGTTTGTTCAGTGAGCTTGCTGTGCGTGACGAGTTATACTCAAATTCAACTGTGAAAAGAGCTTCATAGCTCATCAGATTCCTCCAGTATAAATATTCTGGCCTTGACCCTAACCTCGCAGTCGTTTTATAACATTCTCCCAAAGTTCATTCACTCATATTGGTCGACATGACTGTGTTACCAAATCCGAGATGATTGATATGCATTCAATTAACCTATGCCTTATTTCTCTAATCCAATTCTCACGTTATCCACACCACAATGGTTCTCAACAATGTCATAGTGACGTCATGGCTGTGATCATACTGAAATCTTCTTCGCGTTGTTTTGAAAAGTTGTTTATTCAAATAATTTGTCTGGAAAATGACCATGATGGATCAAAAGTTATGCGGCTTTCCTAATTGAAAACAATGAATACTTTATATTCTTGGTTCTTTCGGTAAAGTCACGTAGAAGGGAAACAAAAAAATATAAAACAATACAATTGTATTGTTTTATATTTTTTCTTTTATATTTTTATTATTTTTTGTTTCCCTTCTACGTGGTGACTTTACCGAAAGAACAAAGAATATGAATCCCTGCAGTCACGAAAGCTTTAAATCAAAATGAATACTTTATATATAGGTTAAATATTTTGTAGAATGCATGCATTTAATGTTGAATGTTAAAATAAGCCACATGTGATGGATTGTATCCATTCACAGAACTGACAATCAGGATGCTACCTTTAGTTATGGTTAATACACCTACAGTATTAACCAGGGTGACAATGCCTGTTTTAACCACAAAGCTCCACGACAATTAATGCATGACCTTCCCCCCCCCCCCAGCCTGTAACAGGCTGTAACAGGCTCCTACAAAATGTAGCCTTGAGGGTCAGGGAGGCTTTCCTAAATAAGCATAGGGCACTTACATCAGTAACTCCACCATTGGAACCTCCTTTGCCAGCAGCAAAATGTTATTTTTACCCTTTTATCTGGCAACAAAACAGACACCTTTTTTAACAAGGAGACATGTTCGCATTGACCACATTACCTGCGGTCAGAATGCATTCCTTAGAGCCTCGTCTCACATGGTGTTGGACCAGATGACCGCAGGTATTGTGGTCAATGCAAACATGACTCCTTGTAAAACAAAGGTGTCAGTTTTGTTGTCAGATAAAAGGGTAACAATTATCATCAGCAACATTGTTATGACTGTTCAGTCGCATGATGATGATAACTGTGATATGATGGAATCCATCACGTGCGGTTTAATTGCAACGTGAATTTCTTGCATCGCGTCCTAAATGCATTGGAGGAAACTGGGCATTCCCGGGAGTGATGATCCATCTGGTTGACTTCACTCAGTCATATTTTATTTCAGGATAGAGAAGCGGGGGACCAGGAGGTGGAGTCCACACAAATCGGCCACTTTGACCATCACTCCACCACTCGTAGTAAACATCACCGTTGCTCGTAAACATCGATATCACGCGCGTGTAAAGATCACCAAGTGGGGCGTCGGGCTCAAAAAACACCCACAACATGGCCAGGTGGTGGCATGTTCACGGCTTGTTGCAGAGGTTTGTGGGTCAGTTCCGGCAGGCCTCCCTGGTTAATACTGCGGTGTGTCCTCACCACAAATACAAGGCGTTGTTTGCTTCACTCACAGCAAATGTTAAAGATCCCGTGACGTCGTTCGAAGAAGAATATGCCACTGTGCCGGCACCATGGTCAAAATCTGATTACACCTAAAATAGCTTACTTGGGAAAAAACGTTGACGTTATTGTTCCCGACTGCAGAAACTTCGCAGGACCTGCTTTTAAGTGCCTTGAGACTCGGTGAGGCTTTGCTGGGTCATCATCATCAGCCATGATCAATTCACTGGATGAATGCCTCCCCTAGGCGCCACCACTTCACAATTTTCCAGGGTAAACAAGCATAATAATAACACAAATGACAGATCACTAAGAGTCTCAAAACAGATCATCACAAAAAGTTTAAATTGGCTTTCCAAGAGTCATGGATGTGGGGTAGGAACAGTGGTAGAGGCCAGGGGTAGGGGCTCGGGATAGAGCCAGCGTTAGGGGCTCGGGATAGAGCCAGCGGTAGGGAACAGGGGTAGTGGTGAGGGGTAGGGGCCAAGGGTAAAGGCCAGGGGTAGGGCCCGCGGTAGGGGCCAGGGGTAGGGGCCAGGAGTAGTGGTGAGGGGTAGGGACCAGCGGTAAAGGCCAGGGGTAGGGGCCAGCGATAGAGGCCAGGGGTAGGGGCCAGGAGTAGTGGTGAGGCGTAGGGGCCAGCGGTAGGGGCCAGGGGTAGGGCCAGTGCTCAATACTTGTGAATAGTTGACGAGTTGGTTCGCATAAAGGGTAGGGTGGAAGAGTCAATGGTTGAATAAAATCAACCAAGGTGTTATAACAAAAGGGCCCATTGAGATTAAATGTTTATCTTTTAATGGTTACAGCAACATGTAATACGGAGTCCAAAACAACCCGAAGCATAATTTAAAAGTGATTAAAACAAAGTTCACATAGGTATATCCCAAATAAACTGAATTTAGTCTGAAATAAACGTGAGCTATGGGGGTTGATTATTAGGGTTACGATTAGTACCAGTAGCACACGATACGTGAACACAAGCACCACAAAAGCACAAACACGCCACACTACACTTCCAGTTGTCAGCCCTGGATAAGGGATTCAGAATGTGTGATTCCTGGGCTGAGCCTGGTTCGTGGTGGAGTGGGAGGCTGCTTGGAGTACCACAGGTGTTGTTGGGTTGGGACCAGCTTTGAGGTGGCCAGCAGGTGGAAGCACAGCAATATATTCTTGAATGTATCCATTGGGAGATTTGAGTGTCACCCACTCCTATGCATTATGGGTTTTCTCCAGTTTCCTCACACAGGAAGCCAAACTCTCATTATTGGAATTCGCCATACACCGCAATGTGGCAGTGCCACCCTGAAAACGAGTTTTGCAACTCAGTGGGTCTTCCCAAGAGGAAAAGCATCGTTATTATTTCAAAGTGCATATAACACAAACTTTTTGGTTCTTTCGGTAAAGTCACGTGACTTTACCGAAAGAACCAAAGAGTGTGGATTCCTGCAGTCACAAAAGCTTCAAATCCAGATTGCATATAACACATTAAGGCAATATGGCGCATTATGCGTTACATGATTAGGGTTCTCAGGTTGTCAATCTATCGTTGGATGCAGGCCTCCTCACGCCGTTCCGGCCATGGTGATTGTGATTGTTTGAACATACTTCCCCACGCCAGGCAGTGCGGGTTGGTAAAAGCCGACATTTCTTATCCTCCCCCCACTGGAAATTGGACACAAACCTCACCCTGATCCTTGACCAACATCGCACATCAACAACACAGTCAAATTCACACCTAGCTCACTCACTCTGTCCATTGGCACTGTCCCTCAAGGGAAACCGGAGTGACAAATCACATTTAAGGTTAAGCTTGAAAAATATTGTTTTTTTCACAGAAAAATTACATCATTCTATAAACGTTATTCTGTACAAAGCTGCTCAGCACACATCGTGAACATTTACACGCACACACACACAAACCCCTCCTGTCTGTCTAACACACATTTATTGCTGTACACCTCACAAAAACATAGATGGCATCGTGCTCAAAACCCTATGTCACCTAGGCATGAACACATTCCCTTTATACTCCGTTATTAACCATCGTTAGCTCCACACGATGCTATGTTAGATAAGTGAGACAGAAACATTCTCGTTTTAATTTCCAGTTTCAGTCCACGGTGGCCCGGCGCTCACACACAGAGCCCACGGCGCGAGAAGTCACCACAACTCCTGGCCAAGCGGGGCTCCGCCGCACCTTCTCCACGGCGACCGCGGCACGGCTGAAGAGACCGGGCCCTAGGACACGACGACGATGACCGATGTTAAAAACGGCTGAGCAGCCCGGCGATTGCGCTGTTCACTGCGCAGAGAAGGAAAAAGCGGCGCTCGCAGCCAGGACCAGAACCAGGCCCGCGACGGCCCGGGCTGGAGACTGGTGTCCGTTTGAACTGGGGTCCTCCTGGGCGTAGCTGTCACCTGCTTTCGCACGCATGCACGCACGCAATCACACCCGGCAGATGACCCCACGCGTCTTGCCCGGCCACGTTGGTCGTAGACGCGGTCACCCCGTGCACGCGCGATGGACGGCCTGTATCTAGCACGGGAAGGGGGGGATAAGCGCAGGCGCGGTGGGAGGGGGGTCGGATGGGTGCGCGTCACACGGCACATGCGCGGACACATGTGCACCTGAACGGGACACTCGCTCGCTCTCTCACTTACTGACCTTGAATGGGAGTGGGGTAACTGGGAGAATGACTTCCTATGAGTGGAAGGGAGGGTGGCAGGGGAGGGAGGGAGGGCAGAGACAGGAGAACGCGAGATTTACATGCCGCAAGCCCTGCACTGCTACGTCCGTGCCCTCACCACTGTAGCGTCTGACACTCCAGTGGTATTATTGATTTATTCCTATAATTTACCGGGAAATCCCTCGGGATGGGCACGTTTCTATTGCCGAGGTGTCATTGGCAACCCACCACCATGCATCTCTCGAGGTCTACCACTTTACTTAAATATATATTCATATATTTTTATTAATATTTTTTTTTTCGAGCACAGGCCCAACACATCAATAAGCCAGTACCAAACAGCACCATCAATAATAGATAAGAGTTTGCACATTTCTTGACTTGAGCCAAGTTATAAGAGGAGTAAGAGGCAATGGGAGACAACTGAAGAGTGAAGCAGCGCGAGGGAAAAAGCAGAAACAGAAGTGAGGTGACCTGCAGTGTGGTGAGTGAACACTGTGCTGAGTGTTGTGACCTGCAGTGTGGTGAGTGAACACTGTGCTGAGTGTTGTGACCTGCAGTGTGGTGAGTGAACACTGTGCTGAGTGTTGTGACCTGCAGTGTGGTGAGTGAACACTGTGCTGAGTGTTGTGACCTGCAGTGTGGTGAGTGAACACTGTGCTGAGTGTTGTGACCTGCAGTGTGGTGAGTGAACACTGTGCTGAGTGTTGTGACCTGCATTGTGGTGAGTGAACACTGTGCTGAGTGTTGTGACCTGCAGTGTGGTGAGTGAACACTGTGCTGAGTGTTGTGACCTGCATTGTGGTGAGTGAACACTGTGCTGAGTGTTGTGACCTGCAGTGTGGTGAGTGAACACTGTGCTGAGTGTTGTGACCTGCAGTGTGGTGAGTGAACACTGTGCTGAGTGTTGTGACCTGCAGTGTGGTGAGTGAACACTGTAATGAGTGTTGTGACCTGCAGTGTGGTGAGTGAACACTGTGGTGAGTGTTGTGACCTGCAGTGTGGTGAGTGAACACTGTGCTGAGTCATCTTCTTTGGTTCTTTCGGTAAAGTCACGTAGAATGAGAATAAAATAATAAATTGATAAAATAAAATAACACAATAATATTCTCACGACGTTTCGGCCACAACACAAGCGGCCTTCATCAGGTGAAGGGAGCGAGACTGTCTGGTAGGACAGCGCTGGAGTGAGAGAGCCACGTTCAGATCACGGCTTTTAAGCTGTGTGAGAGGAACAAAGAGCCTTGACGAAGGAATTAGCATAAAATTTTGCATTGAAAAGGCTGAATGATTAGCTTGTGACTGGTCACAGAAATAGCTATGTTAAAAGTTAAAGCATACACATCCGCAGAGGCACCCATTGTTAAAAGGAATTAGCATAGAATTTAGCATTGAAATAGCTAAATTAAGGCATTCGCTTGTAACTGCTACAGAAATAGTTACGTAAGGCATTCGCTTGTAACTGCTACAGAAATAGTTACGTTGAAGTCAGAGCATACACATTCACCGAGGCACTTAGTACAAATCAAAACAGGAGAATTTAGCATTGAAATAACTAGGCGAATTTAGCATTGAAATAACTGGGTGATTTGCTAGTGACTGGTCACAGAAATGACTACAAATCTGAGCTATTCACAGTACTATATAGTGAACCAATAAAAACTAAAATATAAATTACCTTCATGTTATCAATAAACTCTATATTCTCCAATCAGCTAAGCTACCAACCATAAGTCGTTATATATCACAATGCTATATGGCGAAAAAATGGGTGGATTCTTACCCTCAAATTTCCGTACCACGGATAGCTACGGGCCCCGTTCAGACGGACGAGTTCGTCCATGGTCGGAACAGAGGAGGGGGAGAGAGACAGCTGCGAAGCCCTAGTATACTCCATGTTGTAAACCATACCATTAACCGTGGTGTGAGAGGTATTAAGAGGCAATGCTGGCGAAAGAGCTGCGGTCTGAAGGTCATCGTAAAATTACAATTAATTAAGAACAGAAATGATTTAACACATCTTTCCAGTGGTTACTGAGCCTGAATCCATCTTCTCGGTTGAAATTGTCTCTGTGCTTGTATATGTGAATGGCCTCATGAACGAATCTCTCATGGTAGCCAGTTGGTTTGCAAAGAACCTCCGTCTTGGAGAAGTCAATGTCATGTGAGCCCACTGAATTGTAACAATGATCTGCCACGGCAGAGGAGTTCGTCTTACCGTGTTTCAAGTCTGCTTTATGTTCGCGGATGCGATCCGAGATATGTCTTTTGGTTTCTCCAATGTAGCTACTACCACAGAGGCACTTTAGTTTGTAAACGCCCGGGTACTGTATGTCTGGAAGAGCATCTTTTACAGATGGAACTAAATCACGGATTTTGTGTACTGTGTTGAATCGGACCTGGATCTTGTGTTTATTCAGGATTTTGGAGATCTTTTTAGTGACCCCTGCAATGTAGGGTAAGGTGATGGTTTTGAGTGGCTCCACAAGAGGATCCTTCTTCATGACTGGAGTGATGGCTTTGCGGATTGTGTAGTCGGAGTAGCCATTAGCCCTGAGAGCCTGGTGTACGTGTTTGAGTTCACTGGTAATGTGTTCCTGGTCGGAAATGCATTGGGCTCTATGGTTTACATGGAGTATACTAGGGCTTCGCAGCTGTCTCTCTCCCCCTCCTCTGTTCCGACCATGGACGAACTCGTCCGTCTGAACGGGGCCCGTAGCTATCCGTGGTACGGAAATTTGAGGGTAAGAATCCACCCATTTTTTCGCCATATAGCATTGTGATATATAACGACTTATGGTTGGTAGCTTAGCTGATTGGAGAATATAGAGTTTATTGATAACATGAAGGTAATTTATATTTTAGTTTTTATTGGTTCACTATATAGTACTGTGAATAGCTCAGATTTGTAGTCATTTCTGTGACCAGTCACTAGCAAATCACCCAGTTATTTCAATGCTAAATTCGCCTAGTTATTTCAATACTAAATTCTCCTGTTTTGATTTGTACTAAGTGCCTCGGTGAATGTGTATGCTCTGACTTCAACGTAACTATTTCTGTAGCAGTTACAAGCGAATGCCTTACGTAACTATTTCTGTAGCAGTTACAAGCGAATGCCTTAATTTAGCTATTTCAATGCTAAATTCTATGCTAATTCCTTTTAACAATGGGTGCCTCTGCGGATGTGTATGCTTTAACTTTTAACATAGCTATTTCTGTGACCAGTCACAAGCTAATCATTCAGCCTTTTCAATGCAAAATTTTATGCTAATTCCTTCGTCAAGGCTCTTTGTTCCTCTCACACAGCTTAAAAGCCGTGATCTGAACGTGGCTCTCTCACTCCAGCGCTGTCCTACCAGACAGTCTCGCTCCCTTCACCTGATGAAGGCCGCTTGTGTTGTGGCCGAAACGTCGTGAGAATATTATTGTGTTATTTTATTTTATCAATTTATTATTTTATTCTCATTCTACGTGACTTTACCGAAAGAACCAAAGAAGATGAATCATTGCAGTCACGAAAGCTTTAAATCGAAACTGTGCTGAGTGTTGTGACCTGCAGTGTGGTGAGTGAACACTGTACTGAGTGTTGTGACCTGCAGTGTGGTGAGTGAACACTGTGGTGAGTGTTGTGACCTGCAGTGTGGTGAGTGAACACAGTCTGGATGAGACGAAACAATCTGCTAGACCAAGTCCTCATCGATATAAAGTGATAACATGCTGCACAAGCCAGATGATTGTAAAACACGTTCCACGCAACAGAGAGAGCGCTGACAAATGCCACACATCCAGCTTGTGAGCTGGTGGTCTGGACAAGGCTGAGGAGCTTGTTTGTGCAATGAGGTGGTCACATGACATGTAAGGCATGATGAATGCAAGTTGTGCCTCTGCTGTGAGCAGCATGCACCAATTCGCTCTGCAGTTGTGAGGAGCGTTCTCAGTGAACACATGGAGAGTTCCTTTGCTGCAGTTGTGCGGTTCTAATCTGGCAGGTCAACCCTTGTTAACACTGCAGTCTGTTTTGACTGTTAACACTACGCACCATCTGCTTCATTTACCGTGGCGTTAATTAAGCCACGAGGTCATTCATCCAAGCCCTCGAGTGTGCACCAGCTTCACGGTGCAAATTTGTCGAGATTGGAAAGTAACAACGCAAATTACTGCAATCGTCACAGCATTCGCGATTGCTATACACAAAGCAATCGTCATGCTCCACTTTAAAAGTTTTGTAGGACAAAACTGAACAAGTAGAGGTTGTTCTAGCTAAGAAAGCATAACAATAATGATGATAATCGTGAAAGCACCGTAGGGATTGTACACACGTGTGGCCAGCAGACTGACGGTGCTGAGCCCCAGGGGATTGGTGGCCTGGCAGGTGTAGTTGCCATAGTGGAGCTCTGTGACGTTGTGGAAGGAGAGAGTGGATCGCCGGCCCTCCGTGCGGATGCTCACCCCGCTCACGCCATCTTGTAGCCTGCATGACTCACACGGCCAGGGTGGCTAGTTATTCCACTCGTTCCTATTACAACCACTCGCCTGCCACGTTCCCTTCCCGACTCCTGCATTGCTTATGCTGAGATGGGACACGTGTTCACAATGTGGTGCAGAGAAAGGGGCTGGGAGCAGACACGGGGCTGGGAGCAGACACGGGACTGGGAGCGGAGTCCGGGCTAGGAGTGGAGATGGGGCTGGGAGTGTAGATGGAGCTGGGAGTGTAGATGGAGCTGGGAGTGGAGATTGAGCTGGTAGTGGAGATGGGGCTGGGAGTGGAGATGGAGCTGGGAGTGGAGATGGGGCTGGGAGTGGAGATGGAGCTGGGAGTGTAGATGGAGCTGGGAGTGGAGATGGAGCAGGGAGTGGAGATGGAGCTGGGACTGTAGATGGAGCTGGGAGTGGAGATGGAGCTGGGAGTGGAGATGGAGCTGGTAGTGGAGACGGGGCTGGGAGTAGAGATGGGGCTGGGAGTGGAGATGGGGCTGGGGAGGGTGGGGGGTTCCATCACCTCTTGTTCTCCTTGAACCACAGAAACGATGGCAGGGGAACGGCAGCGGCCTCACATCGCAGAGAACCCAAGCGGCCCACCAGCATGCCATTGCTGCGCACCTCCAGTCCCGACGGGGGATCTGTAAAGACAACGATCCCTGTGTAGCCTCAACAGACTGCTGGGGAAAGTGCTGTTCGCAAGTGATCACCTGAGTGGATGAATGAGTGAATAGGGTCTAGAGACAGCCACTCACAGTTGACGGTGACACGCACTTTGCGCGTGTCTGTGGACGCGATGTCGTTGGTGGCGCTGCACTGGTATTCGCCGGCCTGGTCGCGCGAGATGCCCTCGATCTCCAGGAACTCGCCCTCATACTCGTCATCCTTGGCTACAGGAGGCAACATGGACTCACTCTCTATAGCCGGGCAGTGGTGGTGGTGGCTACGCTGCACATGGCCTGTGATCCAGCACTGTGGAGGTGGTGAGCGTTGGTGGATCACTGCACAGATATTGTGAAACTCCCTTTCAATAGGTGTCGAGGGGGTGCCATACCCTGGTTCACCAGGAGAAGGCAGCACAGCAAGTTGACTAATCAGCACCTGTTTCCATCTGTATGGGGATATAGTGTAGCCCCCTCATATGCATGGGTTTTCTCTGGATGCTCCAGTTTACTCTCCCGTGCATAATAAACACAACTCAAACAGCTTAAAATAAAAACCCAATGCAGCTGGACCCACTTGAAAACGAGTCCTATGACTCAGTGTGGCTTTCCTGGATATATAAATAAACTATAATAATGTATTATTATACAATCACTCCACACTCACGATACACAAGACACTACAGGAGGTCCCCGATATACGTCGCCGTGATATACATCGTTTTGCACTCACGTTGCCGACTTTGAGGAACCCAACGTTACATTTCCCCACAGATGCATCGATATGTCGTTACGGCGATACATCGCTTTCGAGTCAGTTCAGCTTCGTATATAAAAACTGCTGTAAGTTGTATTTAGTGCATGTACCGCCATTTTAGCATCTGTCCCCAGCATGCTATCTGCTGCTACTCAGTCCCATAGTGTTCTCTCTCTCACGTTGTACATTGTGAGTGCTCATTGTAATCGGCCTAATCCTCTCCCAACACCTTCTCCAATCAAGCCAATCAAGTACCACTCATCCACTCAAGGTAAGATTGTAGCAATTATAGTTCAAGGTAAAATCTTTTTGATGTTGTTTAAGATTCTGTGGTTTTTTACACTAAAAATGTTTGTTTCTGCTTGTGGCATTGTTTAAAGATGTCACGAAAACTTTTATATAAAAAAGGAAAACTTTGAAAGTGCACAGGGCTGCTTCGAAATGCTCATAAAATGGTTTTCAATTAAGCATTTGGTAAGAAGATCGTAATCAACCAGGCTATGCGTTAACTGTGTGTTAGCCGACTCTCTGTGTTGCATTGTATATTTCTCTCTCAAACATTCACCAGGCTCTCATAGGTCTATTCGCTTTTTCTCTCCCCCCGGCCACTTCGGGGTAGATTTCCACACATCTCTCTGTGTGTCTCTGTCAAATTTCACACTTAACTTCTAATTTTAGCAATTTTTGGAGATCGTAATCAACCAGGCTATGCGTTAACTGTCTTAGCCAACTCTCTGTGTTGCATTACATTACATTTCCAAAAGATTTGCTAAATTTTGTTTTCTCAAACTATTTCTCTCTCTAAAATTTACCAGGCTCTCATCGAGCCATTCGATCGTCTTCTTTCCCTCGGTCGCTTTGGGGTGGATTCATTGACATGCTAATCTCTCTGCTCCAGCAGCTGCTCCAGCAGACCCCCCTCTCTCTCTGCTCTACCCCCCCCCCTCTCTCTCTATTTAAGGGGTCGTCGGAATACATCTCCATCGTAAGTCGGGGACTACCTGTATTACTTGATGATTCACTTCCAAGCAGCACTAAGCCTGTAGCTATCAGAACGGTTACGATTATTTTTATTTCTCTCAATTTCGATAGATTCTCGAATTAGTCTTGGCCAGTAGTATTTAGTTTTGCACAGAGCTTCAACATTATCCAAGTCAATTGAGTGTCCTTGTTGGCACGCGTGTTCTGCCACTGCCGACAGTTGTATAGTATAGGTACTGTACATGTACAGTACCTATTTTGGACCCTATCCCCAATTTTCTATTATTCTTATGGGGGGAAATTCCCCATTATACATAATTTCATTTTAAGTGGCAATTTTCTGGTCCTTAACCCCAACATATATCAGGGACCCCCCGTATAATAACACATGGAAACACCACACTCACTATATACGGTACGCTACGACAACACACTACGACACCACAAGCACTACACACACTACACAACAACAATACCACGCACTACACACACAACAACAACACCACGCACTACACACACAACAACACGCACTACACACACAACACACTCACTCAACATTACACACTCACTCTGGTAATACACCACACACGCACTACACACACAACACACTCAACATTACACACTCACTCTGGAAATACACCACACACACACTACACACACAACAACACGCACTATACACACAACACACTCAACATTACACACTCACTCTGGTAATGCACCAAACACACACTACACCAGGGGTGTCCAAAGTTTTTTTAGTGAGGGCCAAATACAGAAAAATAAACAAAAGGCCGGGCCACACACTAGAGGTGACATATTGACACATGAATACTGTGTGTATTTCTAACTCACCTATAATGTGGAGAACATTGCACTCAGTGGGAGCAGTGATGCTGTCCTTTGGATTGAAGGATGGCTGACATGTCAGGAGAAAGTTTGGTGGTTGAGACACGAAGGACTTCACAGAGATGGCTATCAGTCATTCTGGTTCTCAGTCTGCTTTTGTTCTGATTTAACAGATAAAATGTTTGTTCACATATGTATGTTGAGCCGAACAGGCTCATCATTCTTTTTGCGTGGCGTCTCATCAGAGGAAACTTGGCATTATCCAAACTCTGATATAAGTCAGAGAGGGAGAGAAGCTGATGTTGACTCTTCAGAGAATCATCATATTGCATTTCAATCAGTTCTAACTGCAGACTCTCTTCCACTTCTTCTGCATCCACCAGAAAGGGGGTCGAGAACAGCTTGATTTGTTTTTCAATGACAGAAAAATCTTGGAAACGCTGGTTGAATTCTGTCACGAGAGATACAATCACAGACACATATTTCTCCTTTTTAGCAGAAAGGTCGACCTTTGGAAAAGCAGACTTGATTTCAGACAGCGCAGGGAAGTGTGCAGCATTAAAGCTTCGTAGTTGTGTCTCAAACAGGCGGAGTTTTTTGCCTTGTAGGTTCTTGTTCAGTGTATTCAGATGATGAGTAAGATCAACTAAAAATGCCAGGTCTGCCAGCCACAGAGGGTCACTCAGTTCATGAAGAGGTCGGCCCTTCTCTTTCAAAAACTGGTCGATTTCTGATCTCAGCGAATAAAACCGCTGCAGCACAGAGCCGCGGCTGAGCCAGCGCACATCAGAGTGGTAGAGTACATCCCCCGTATTCAGCATCCACATCAGATAGGAAAGCTTGAAATTCTCTGTGGTACAGTCCTCTAGCTCGAATTATGTTGACAGTTTTTACAACAGTGTTCATCACATCGCCCAGCTGGACAGTCTTGGCACACAGTGCTTCTTGGTGGATTATACAGTGCATCCTAACAGCCTCACCTCCGCTCTCTTTTACCTTGGCGCACACCATCGATGCCATTCCTTTGCGCTCGCCCGTCATGGTCGGAGCTCCATCCGTTGTTACTCCACAGAGCTTGTCCCATTTAAGCCCCATCTTTTCAACTGCCTCTGACACAGCTTCAAAAATATCTCTACCCGTCGTTGTGCCTTTTAGGCTCATCATATCAAGCAGTTCCTCCGTACAGCAAAAATTATCATCTACTCCCCACAAAAAAATTAACAGCTGCGCGGTGTCTGTGGCATCTGTGCTCTCGTCGCATGCTATCGAGCAAAAATCAACAGCACAAGCTTTGTCTCTCAGCTGAAGTTTCAAGTTAGCTGACAAGTCCTCGATTCTCCGCACCACTGTATTTCTGGATAAGCTCACGCTGTTGAAATCCTGCACTTTTTCCGGGCACATTATTTCTGTGACTTTGATGAGGCACTGCTTTATGAAATCACCGTCTGAGAACGGTTTGCCGTGCTGAGCAATAAGTTTAGTGACTTCATAGCTTGCTGTTGTGGCGTTTTCCTGTATTTTGTTAGCAGGAAAAAAATTGTTGAGCTTGCAGGCTAGCCGCCATTTGCTTGACTTTCTGTGTTCGTTCGGCACCGGTGTACGATGTGTAGCTCTGATGTTTGGTCTCATAGTGCCGACGGACATTATACTCTTTCATCACAGCAACATCTTCATTGCAAATCAAAGAGACACACTTTCCGTTGATTTCTTTGAAAAAAAATATTCATTTTCCCACCGTGTTTGAAATCTTCTACACTCACTTGCTATTTTGCGCTTCTTCGGTGCTGCCATTTCTGGTGACTCGCGGTAAAAGTTTTTCTTTGCTTAATTTTGTTTAGTGGAGAAGCACGGTTTTCCGTGGCTGGCTCCATCTAGTGTTGAAACTGAGAAGTGCAACAGAATTGAGCTCGAGCTTCTTGTGCGGGCCATATTCAATTATATTTTCAGAATTTGCTGCGGGCCAATAAAAACTGGACCGCGGGCCGCAGTTGGCCCGCGGGCCGCAGTTGGCCCGCGGGCCGTAGTTGGCCCGCGGGCCGTAGTTTGGACACCCCTGCACTACACACACACAACACGCACTACACACATAACATACTCACTCAACATTACACACTCACTCTGGTAATACACTACACACACAACACAACAACACACTCACTCAACATTACACACTCACTCTGGTAATGCACCAAACACACACAACAACACGCACTACACACACAACACACTCACTCAACATTACACACTCACTCTGGTAATGCACCAAACACACACTACACACACACAACAACACGCACTACACACACAACATACTCACTCAACATTACACACTCACTCTGGTAATACACTACACACACAACACAACAACAACACACTCACTCTACATTACACACTCACTCTGGTAATGCACCAAACACACACTACACACAACACGGCCGTCGTGGCGACACACACTCACTGTACACGACACAGCATGGTGCCCGCTCACCCGCGGGAGAGAGGTGTCTCCAGGTGATGCTGGGCTCAGGTTGTCCCATACCCCAGCACGAGATGGTCACGTTGGCGCCTTCGTTCACCGTCACGTCCCCCGAGATGTTCGTGATCCTGGGCGGCACTGCAGCAGAGTCGTAGAGAGTGGGCGCGGCACGATGATACGTTTACCCGCCAGGGATTCAGAATGTGCAATGCCAGGGCTGAGCCTGGGTCATGCTGGAGTAGGATGCTGCTTGGAGTACCAGGTGGCATTGGGTTGGGGCCAGCTATGAGGTGGCCAACATGTTGAAGCACAGCAATGGATTCTTGAATCTATCCATGCGGATATTTGAGTGTCACCTCTTCCTGTGCATTGTGAATTTTCTCAGGGGTATCCAGTTTCCTCCCACAAGAAGCCAAACTCTCATTATTGGAATTCGCCATACACCCCAATGTGGCAGTGCCATACTGAAAAGAGTATACGATTCAGGGAAAACGTCTATGCCACAGTTATGGCCTCCCATCAGTATGACTACAAAGGAACATATGCACCATTTTGAAAGATTCAGGCTGGCCTACCTACGATCCATCCTGGGTTTAACCAGACTGGATAGTGTGAAGAGCTCACAAATCCTTGAAAGATCTGTACACAATTCCTTCAACAGGCAAGGCTGCATTAGCTGGGTCATGTCGGCCGCATGCCCAGCCACAGCATTACCAAGCAGCTTCTGTATGACCGGATAGAGGGGACTAAATGGGCATGGCACGGTCTGGAGAAGAGATGGACTGATGCGCTACAGGAGGATGTTGAGCTGATTGGACTTGCCGATGACCGGTACCAGCAGTGTCGAGATCAGCCTCTGTGGGAGAGGCTCGTGAAGGACGCTACTGGGCAGTTGGAGGCAGTCGCCCTCCAACAACAACGGAGGGCGGAGCAATAACGCTCACGAGTGAATCGCCAGACACTAAAACGCATTAAGTTGGCACAGTGGAAAGCACAGTTGGTGTACAGGATTCAATAATCTCAGTCAACCCATAGCACCTGGGTCTGTCCCGTGACCTGACAGCAGGCTTTCCACACTTCACATAGTCTCCAAGTGCACCTAGCCTGGCACAAGAGGCATTGTGACATCACCGCCACTTAGTGGTGAATGACAGCTGTCGTTGTGTATGTGTGAAAGTGTGTAGGTGCGAGTGTGAATGTGTGTATGTATGAGTTCGGGTGTGTGCGAGCCTGGGCCACGGAGCCTATGTTGAGCCGCACAATTGCGTGACGAATGCAGCTGTGAATTCCAAGCGACGCTGACGAATGGAGTGGGATGGAGACGGCAGTCCCTCTACCCTCTCTCTCTCCCACCTATCCCTCCCTCTCTTCCTGGGGCACAGCAAGAAGGACCCCTGCCCTTGGCACCACGATGTGTCATCAGAGAGAACAGGATAGTGCTGCTAACTGGGCAGATGTTGCCCGGGTTTGCGCCCTACATATACATCATCATCAAGATGTCATCACGGACAAAGCCTTTGATGTCACCTTCACCACACCTCACTACCAACGCTCTCTAACCTCCGACAGATTCAGCAGCTGCTGCACAAGAGAAACACACCAACCTTCTAGATGTCCCCTGACAGTCTCCCACCACCATCTGCTCTTTACTCACAGAGACACCCATAGACTCACACAGAGATCCACAGACTCACAGAGTACAGTTAAGCCTGTTAAGTCAGGTGAGATCTACGGAGATCCATAGATCTGCCCTCACGGTATCCAACCATCTGGCTGTAGGTCTTCCCCAGTCTCTGTCTCAGCAATCGGCCCTCCCCATGCTGCCGAACGTCACATCCACAGCACTCAGCTGCCGATTGCTTTTCCCAACCTCTAATTTCCGTACCCCACCCTTCCCCATCCCGCACGCACGGTCCTCCAGCGTGCACACGCAGCGAGGGGGATGAGTCTGTATGCGGGCCCTCACCCTGCACGATGAGGTGGTAGTGAGTGGTATGGGGGCCGCTGCTGGGCGTCTGCACGGAGCAGGTGTAGGTCCCCTCGTCGCGGGGGGTCAATTGAGCGACCCTCAGGCTGTACTCGCCGCCCCCGGCGACCCCCACCAGCGTGACACGCGGATCACTCGACCACTTGTCAGAGCCGGCAAACACAATGCTGGAGCGGTTGAGCCACGCGACGCGGCCCACGTGGCCCTCCAGGTAGCACCTGCGTGACGACACGAAGACACAGTGTACACACGGTGATGTACACACGGTGATGTACACACGGTGATGTACATGCAGTGACACACGGAGACACAGTGTACACACGGTGATGTACACACGGTGATGTACACACGGTGATGTACACACGGTGATGTACATGCAGTGACACACGGAGACACAGTGTAAACACGGTGATGTACACACGGTGATGTACACACGGTGACAGTGTACACACGGTGATGTACACACGGTGATGTACACACGGTGATGTACACACGGTGACAGTGTACACACGGTCATGTACACACGGTGATGTACACACGGTGATGTACACACGGTGATGTACACGCAGTGACACACGGAGACACAGTGTACACACGGTGATGTACACACGGTTATGTACATACAGTCATGTACACACGGTCATGTACACACGGTCATGTACACACGGAGACACAGTGTACACACGGTGATGTACACACGGTGACAGTGTACACACGGTGATGTACACACGGTCACGTACACACGGTCATGTACACACGGTGACAGTGTACACACGGTCATGTACACACGGTGATGTACACACGGTGATGTACACACGGTGATGTACACGCAGTGACACACGGAGACACAGTGTACACACGGTGATGTACACACGGTTATGTACATACAGTCATGTACACACGGGCATGTACACACGGTCATGTACACACGGAGACACAGTGTACACACGGTGATGTACACACGGTCATGTACACACGGTCATGTACACACGGTCATGTACACACGGAGACAGTGTACACACGGTGATGTACACACGGTCATGTACACGCAGTGACACACGCATTGATACACGGAGACACAGTGTACACACGGTCATGTACACACGGTCATGTACACACGGTCATGTACACACGGTGATGTACACACGGTGATGTACACGCAGTGACACACGGAGACACAGTGTACACACGGTGATGTACACGCAGTGACACACGGACACACAGTGTACACACGGTGATATACATGCAGTGACACACGGAGACACAGTGTACACACGGTGATGGACACGCAGTGACACTCGGAGACAGTGTACACACGGTAATGTACACACGGTGATGTACACGCAGTGATACACGGAGACACAGTGTACACACGGTGATGTACACACGGTGATGTACACGCAGTGACACACGGAGACACAGTGTACACACGATGATGTACACGCAGTGACACACGGAGACATAGGTAGCACCTGTGTGATGTGGTGATTGTAGTTATGGTTGTAATGTAGTTATGATGCAGTTGTGGCTTTGGTTGTGGTTATATTGTGGCTGTTGCGGTTGTTTTAGTTGTGGTTTAAATGTGTCTGTCATGGTTGTGGTGACGTGGTTGGGGAGCGGGAATGTAACGTGGTGCTGGCCACCCACCCCTTTTGTGTGCCGTACCGGCCTTCATCGGTGCTGCTCGCTAACACAACTTGCTCCAAGTCTGTTAAGGCTACACGGGGGATCTTTGTGGGTATATTACGCCACAGTATGTGTATTACACTGCACGTATAACACTACACCCTCTCTCCTGGTCACAGATGCTTAGATGGTCACGTATTCCAAGCACTTCCTGCCCATTTGCGTGCGATGTAGTTTGTTTCAATCAGTGCGCCCCCCCCCCTCCCTTCTTAAAAATGCGGACCACCATTCTCATGTCTATAGGGCAGCCTGCATACAAATGCCACCATCCCTCAGCAGCTCGCCTTAGAGGTCTCTGGCTCTGGATTGACTTTCGCGTTTTCTCAACAGATCTAACGTCATCTATATATACTGTATATTAACATTACACATTAATATGAGTACATCAGCAGGCGTACAGGCGGAACAGACACACACGGAGACATGGGACTCCCCACCTCAGGATCGCCGTCTCCCCGAGTCTCAGCGTCACGTTGTTTCCAGTCCGCGTCGCTCCCTCCGCAGGACGCGACGCAAACCCTGCGGGCAGAAAGGGCAGCAGGGGCAGCCCCACACCAGAGTTGTCTATCTAGCCCCTCCACTCTCCCATGCAGCCACACCAGAGTTGTCTATCTAGCCCCTCAACTCTCCCATGCAGCCACACCAGAGTTGTCTATCTAGCCCCTCCACTCTCCCATGCAGCCACACCAGAGTTGTCTATCTCGCCTCTCCACTCTCCCATGCAGCCACACCAGAGTTGTCTATCTAGCCCCTCCACTCTCCCATGCAGCCACACCAGAGTTGTCTATCTCGCCCCTCCACTCTCCCATGCAGCCACACCAGAGTTGTCTATCTCGCCCCTCCACTCTCCCATGCAGCCACATCAGAGTTGTCTATCTCGCCCCTCCACTCTCCCATGCAGCCACACCAGAGTTTTCTATCTCGCCCCTCCACTCTCCCATGCAGCCCCACCAGAGTTGTCTATCTAGCCCCTCCACTCTCCCATGCAGCCACACCAGAGTTGTATATCTCGCCCCTCCACTCTCCCATGCAGCCACATCAGAGTTGTCTTTCTCGCCCCTCCACTCTCCCATGCAGCCACACCAGAGTTGTCTATCTCGCCCCTCCACTCTCCCATGCAGCCACATCAGAGTTGTCTATCTCGCCCCTCCACTCTCCCATGCAGCCACATCAGAGATGTCTATCTAGCCCCTCCACTCTCCCATGCAGCCACACCAGAGTTGTCTATCTAGCCCCTCCACTCTCCCATGCAGCCACATCAGAGTTGTCTATCTCGCCCCTCCACTCTCCCATGCAGCCCCACCAGAGTTGTCTATCTCGCCCCTCCACTCTCCCATGCAGCCACACCAGAGTTGTCTATCTCGCCCTTCCACTCTCCCATGCAGCCCCACCAGAGTTGTCTATCTCGCCCCTCCACTCTCCCATGCAGCCACATCAGATTTGTCTATCTCGCCCCTCCACTCTCCCATGCAGCCACATCAGAGTTGTCTATCTCGCCCCTCCACTCTCCCATGCAGCCCCACCAGAGTTGCCTATCTCGCCCCTCCACTCTCCCATGCAGCCCCATCAGAGTTGTCTATCTCGCCCCTCCACTCTCCCATGCAGCCACACCAGAGTTGTCTATCTCGCCCCTCCACTCTCCCATGCAGCCACATCAGAGTTGTCTATCTCGCCCCTGCACAACCGTCACCACCAACGGTACGAAGCACAACACCACGACAACTACAATCACAGCCTGCGCGGGTTTTTTTCCAGTTTCCTCCCACGCGCAACCAAACTCTCAACAATGGATTCATCATTGACGTGTGGGTCAGATCGTCTCAGTGAAATGTCTGTTGTAAACCCTCCTTCACCCAGCACAGCCAATTAACAAGTCTATCACGTGAACAAGTGCCAATTACTGCTGCAACACCACAATGTATTGGAGAGCAATGTCACAACAATTAATAATTGGGTACGAGGTTTCGCTTAAAGTTTTTTTTCTCTCAGCAATGGAATCCATGGCCAAGCATCTAACGTAGTAGGCCCCCCTCCTGACACACTGATAATTTCCTGGGTAAAAGAAGGGCGTTGTTGTGATCTTTACACTGCCACCATTTTCCCATGGGAGATTTGGCGACACTCCACATTAACACAGCATCTTCTGTCTTTATGAAAATCAGCCTCAGTTAAAGGAGGCGAGACCCATTCACATCCACAGCTCGATTCGGCTCTGTGGATAACACGCACACAGTACACATACAGAACACATACAGCACACGTACAAAACACACAGCTCACACAGCACACATACAATACACACATCACACATACAATACACACAGCCCACACACAATACACACAGCACATACAGTACACACAGCACACATACAATACACACAGCCCACACACAATACACACAGCACATACAATACACACAGCCCACACAGTACACACAGCACACAAACAATACACACAGTACACATACAATACACACAGCACATACAATACACACAGCACACATACAATACACACAGCCCACACAGTACACACAGCACACATACACTACACACAGCCCACACACAATACACACAGCACATACAATACACACAGCCCACACAGTACACACAGCACACATACAATACACACAGCACATACAGCACACACAGCACACATACAGAACACAAAGCCCACACAGCACACATACAATACACACAGCCCACACAGTACACACATAGTGCACATACAATACACACAGTACACACATAGTACACATACAATACACACAGCACACATACAATACACACAGTACACACAGTACACACATACAATACACACAGTACACACATACAATACACACAGTACACATACAATACACATAGTACACATACAATACACACAGTTCACACAGCACAAATACAATACACAGCCCACACAGTACACACAGCACACATACAATACACACAGTATACACATACACTACGCACAGCACACAAACAATACACACAGTACACATACAATACACACAGTACACATACAATACACACAGTACACACAGCACAAATACAATACACAGCCCACACAGTACACACAGTACACATACAGCCCACACAGTACACACAGCACACATACAATACACACAGCACACACAGCACACATACAATGCACACAGCACATACAGCACACAGAGCACACATACAGAACACACAGCCCACACAGCACACATACAATACATACAGTACACACATACAATACACACAGTACACATACAATACACACAGCACAAATACAATACACAGCCCACACAGTACACACAGTACACATACAGCCCACACAGTACACACAGTACACACAGCACACATACAATACACACAGCACACACAGCACACATACAATGCACACAGCACATACAGTACACAGAGCACACATACAGAACACACAGCCCACACAGCACACATACAATACACACAGTACACACATACAATACACACAGCACACATACAATACACACAGCACACATACAATACACACAGCCCACACAGTACACACATAGTACACGTACAATACACACAGTACACACATAGTACACATACAATACACACAGCACATACAGCACACACAGCACAAATACAATACACACAACACACATACAATACACACAGCACACACAGTACACATACAATACACACAGCACGTACAGCACACATACAATACACACAGCACACAAACAATACATACAGCACACACAGCACACATACAATACACACAGTACACACAGCACACATACAATACACACAGCACATACAGTACACAGAGCACACATACAGAACACACAGCTCACACAGCACACATACAATACACACAGCACACATACAATACACACAGTACACACAGCACACATACAATACACACAATACACACATACAATACACACAGTACACATACAATACACATACTACACATACAATACACACAGTTCACACAGCACAAATACAATACACAGCCCACACAGTACACACAGCACACATACAATACACACAGTATACACATACAATACGCACAGCACACAAACAATACACACAGTACACATACAATACACACAGTACACATACAATACACACAGTACACACAGCACAAATACAATACACAGCCCACACAGTACACATACAATACACACAGCACACATACAGCCCACACAGTACACACAGCACACATACAATACACACAGCACACACAGCACACATACAATACACACAGCCCACACAGTACACACATAGTACACATACAATACACACAGTACACACAGCACACATACAATACACACAGTACACATACAATACACACAGTACACATACAATACACACAGTACACACAGCACACATACAATACACACAGTACACGTACACTACACACAGTACACATACAATACACACAGCACAAATACAATAAAGAAAATATACAGAATACACGCAACAGAACGTATTCAACATACACCCAATACACACACATCACCGTGCAGAACACAGCACACACACACAATGCACTCACTGCTGCACAGACACACACAATGCACTCACTGCTGCACACACACAATGCACTCACTGCTGCACCCACACAATGCACTCACTGCTGCACACACACACAATGCACTCACTGCTGCACACACACACACACAATGCACTCACTGCTGCACACACACACACACAATGCACTCACTGCTGCACACAGACACAATGCACTCACTGCTGCACACACACAATGCACTCACTGCTGCACACACACACAATGCACTCACTGCTGCACACACACACAATGCACTCACTGCTGCACACAAACATGCGCCTCCTGTGTTCGCCCACACACTCTCGGCCTCCCCTCCCACTCGACCTGACCCCCCACGATGTCACCATGGCAACCCCTGCACCCTCTCCTCCCCGCACTCCGCGTGCCTCCCTCCCCCTAGCCCCGCTCGCCGGTCCCTGTCGTGAATCCGCAGCCACCCGGCGAGTGAGCGCTGCGTGGGGAGCGGTGGCGCAGTGGTTGGCGCTGCGTGGGGAGCGGTGGCGCAGTGGTTGGCGCTGCGTGGGGAGCGGTGGCGCAGTGGTTGGCGCTGCGCTACGAACCTGGCCACTCCCGCTCACGGCCAACATCGGTGACGTGTTAATTACCATCCGGTTATGTGCACCCCCTGGGTAGACTCAACCTTAAAACAGTTCCTATTTTGCAGCGTATTAAGAAACATCAGCACTGGTGAGATAAAGGTGGCCGGGCGTAGTTCAGGGCACATCAACCGCTCTTACGCCCTAATGACCTTAATAGGTGCTCGCTAACAGCACTCACCCAACAGCACATTTAGGCTTCGCAGGAGACGTTGCTGTGCGGTGTGTCAGGTTCATCACCGGGGGACTTTCTCTTTTGTTGGAGATTCGCACCCCACCCCCGCCTGATTAACGGCCCCAATTAGCGCGCTCGTAATGGGCCGTGATTAATTAGCGCCCGCGTCCCACAGCCGTGGAGTTGCACGGGGAGTTTCCTCCACG